GACGTGTGCAATGCAAATACTACTACTACTACTACTACTACTGCTACTACTGCTACTACTAGTACCACCACTCCTACCCCTACTATAATGATAATACTTCTAATGATAGTAGCCATAAGATTTAGCATTAATCATGGCGCAAGTATGTTTTGCCGTGGAGGGACAGGCGGGGTGGTGGTACGTCCCCCCTGCCCCCGGAGGAGGGGCGCGGGGGCGGTAACCCCCCCAAGCTGAGCCAGCGAAGCCCGCTGCGGAGAACTATCGTACAGTGGGATGCCGGCTTCCCTCGAAGTGAACCTTTGCCAAACACTGGCAAAGTGCCAGCATGATTTTTTTCTAGGTCCGTCCACCGCCCGACCATAACTTCTAATCAAGACCATTATCCTACTGCTGAATCAAGATTTCAAGCATGTCCTCTCCAATCTCTGCTCTTGCCGCTCATGCCACTTGCTTAGGGTTAAGAAGTGTTTCGAGGCCGATCGATTGCTGCTGGGCGATGGTCCACGCAGGTTCAATACTCGATCGCAAGTAAAGTTCAATCGCTAATTAAGGATGAACGGGAATGTTTGTCCACCATCGAGACCTGACACTGCGCCAGTAAATAAAGTCAACAATATTACTGTTGATGGAAACTTCGCATGAATGCGTTTACGAAACTACTGGGCCTGTTAACTCCGCCCGTAAGCACTCACTGGCAGAAGCGGAGCTGGATTGACTACAGGATCGCTTGGAGGGCAAGTTCAACTCACAGTAGGACATAAAGGGCTCCCCACCCACCTCCTATCTGAAACTTTGTTCTTGAACACACAGGGCACGGCCGACCGGACGAAAGGCGACGTCTCCAGTTCCATGAGGATCACGGAAAAGTGGCACGAGATAGAGAATGTGCTGGTATGACCGGAGGGAATCAGGAAGCGGAAGATGCAACTGACACGACAGGTGATCCACAGCCAGGCCAATTGTGTATCATCACCCTTCCATGCCTTCCGTGCGTTGCTTCACACTGTGGGCCGGGAAACGATCAGTCTGGAACATGGCTGGGATTAAAGAGTCCGGCACGCACTACGTTCTTTGTGCTGACAACTGCCTCATGCTTATTGGTGGGTTGAACCCTAGACAGATAAGCCAGGTATTCAGGACGAAAGAAGCAACAAAGGATTCGCAAGCCACAAACAAGAAATATGAAAGCATGGCGGCCAGTAGCTACAGCGGGTAGACAATCATCTGAAGAAAACACTGAGCACGTGATGACACGTGTCGATGTCCACACTTGTGCATCTAGGCCCAAGGCTCGCATCTCTGGAACTCGTGACGATGCTGCCTCGGTAATTCCGGCACCTGGCAGATCGAGCTAAGCGAGGTAGCCGAGGCAAGGGTAACTAACATGCTTGTCTGCGCGAGCCTGCCAGAAGATTCGACAGACCTGAAGCGGCTTGTTTCTTGCAGGCACTTTTGGATCTTCTGGGCATGTATCAGGGATCCAGATGTGTTCGAGGGAGTGTCACTGCAGCTGAGCCCCTTCGACTGTGACGCGCACGAAACTGAACTTGCGCCCCCGGCCGTTGCGCAGACTGCTGCGGAACTGCCACAGTTGATCGGGTTGTTTCGCAGCTTCCCAGACATCAAGCCTTTGCAGGATACCGCATGCAGTGACTTGCATCCGTGCGACTGTCTGTCTTGTGGGAACTGAGGCTCAAGTGCCTGGTACACTCAATGCACTCCGGGGTCAGCACAGGTCAGCGAAGTCGCACTCACCCGTGTCATCAACACGCTCTGCGAGAGCTTTGACACAGGCCTAGCAGTAACAAGACGAGCCAAGCCAGACAAGCGACGACCCATAAAGATTGACCAAATGACCGGTCTTCAAGCGTCTACGCATATGCATGAACACCTCAGCATGCAAGCGTGCAAAGGCACGTAGGACAGAAAAGATTCGAGAAGTGTCTGGACGCCAACTTGAGGCACACTGACTCCAGTGACGGACTGCAACAAAGGCATCTAGCCATATTCGAGAATGATCTGACAAAGCCCTGCTTGCCTCCGCATGATTTCGGGAGGAAACAGACGTCAGCGCATCGCAGAGGTCGTCTGCAGCCACGGTCGCGGGATCCAAACGCACGTGGACACAGGATGAATCGGTGATTCTGCCAGATCAGAAGGACAAGCCGTGCGGACTGGTCCAACCTACCCACCTGCTGATTCTAAGCTGACCATCATCGAACCCGCCAAGTTGTGGTCAATGCTGACAAAAACGTCCTGCCGCGGCGGATGGAAAACGTGTCGCAGATTTGGAGCTAGACGGGCTCGGCTGTCGTGGTTTGACTGTCGCAAGCCAAAGTCTAAGACAGGGGTCCCAGAGTTGCTTTTCTTCCGCTGTCAGCTCAGAGGACACGGCTTCGTGGCCTGGGAAGTGGAAGTTTCATGCAAGGCGCCAAGGTGCTGGCAAGGCTGAGTAGCACACACCCAAGGAGGTGTCCCACAAGGCGTGCACGGACCTATGCAGTGTGGATGAAGCAGCAGAACAGGCTAGCTAGCAGGAGACACCAAGGTGCTGGCAACTGCAGAGAAAAGAGGTGATTGCGCCTAAGTCTCAAAGCTTCGTGTGACGACCTGAAAACTTGAGGAAATCTTGCGACGATGAAATGGAGGTCTGCTCGGAAAGCCCTGTGGCTTCAGGATGCTCCGTGACGAGTGAGAGTCTTCGTGATATCACAGAAGAAGGGCTCGAAGACCTAGACGCGTGCCAGCCAGGGCACGCAAAAACCGGCATATAAAAAAATCCATCTCAACGCCCCCAAGCAAAAAACACATGTGGCATGTCCTCAGAATGATGCAAGCTCACGGTCGATCGACAAAAAAACATTGTCTACTCGTCGCAATCGTTTCTGCACTCGCATAAAATGACGCTGATGAGCACTTCAAGAATATTCAAGATACACCAGGAACAGCCTGAAGCCGTTCAGCTGCTTGCACAGCAGGCATGAGACTCGGGCACCAAACGCCTGAGAAGAGCTTGCACTGGTTGCATCATCACCTGAACGGACAAGCAGAGCTGTCCAAGAGATGACTGACATCTGCAGCAGAATACCGAAATCGATAAAGACTTGGTCCAGCAAGGACCCCGCCCCCGAGATGTGTGCATTTCAACAGTGATCCGAAGCAAAGCTTGAGGGCCTGTGTCGGTCACAGGACCCGCGGCTTGGGGCTCCTGCAAAGCATGTAAACCGATTGAATTCAAGATTTCACTGGCTGGCAAGACAGCTATGCTGCCGAGATGATGCATCAGCAGCAGGAAAAGCGAAGAAAGGAAATGAAGAGACTCCAGAGTACGGCCCTGACCACCGCACTCCTGTGGAATGCAAAGCCGCCAGAGCCGCGGAAAGGCAGCCAGGAGGCCACCCGGGGTCTTCTGCGCCAGGCGGGGTTACCGAGGCAGCTACCACACAGAGTGCACACATCGCGAGCGAGAGGCCGATAGAGCCCTAACCAGGGCACTGCCTGCAACGTTGCAGTTTCTCGAGCCTCAGGGTCTGGGACTTCCTCCAGCAACTGCCTGAAGGGCAGATGGGCCTGTGCCAAGTCACAGCACATGCAGACTCGCCCCGTTATTTGCTGTGACCGAGTTGCAGTCTAGAAGGACCCAGACTTTAAGCCTTTGCTTGGCCTCGTTCATCAACGTGTCCAAGCTCGTGGAACTAAACCTGCGGGCCAAGCCATAACTTGGGCCACGCTACATGCACTCGCAACAGCCACCATAAAAGCTGCTTTCGGACACAACGAAGTGCTGCAAGCTCTCAGCTGAGCCCAACTTCATGCCGTGAAGGTATCCGTGATCTGTGAACCTATCAGACGAATTGATGCGCCTATCGGCCTGGCTCGAAGAAGCCGCCTGTAGTGCCGTTGACAAAGTGTCCATCAGCATGTCATCTGTACCGCTGTACGCTTACAAGGCCCGAACTGCAAAGAGAGAGGGAGAGAAAGTGCATCCAGCTCATGGAAAAAATCTGCGCACCATTGCGCACCGCTAGGTATTCCATCGGCAGTAGTCTGATAATGGATGCTGGGCCTAGAACTCTGGCAACAGTTCCTAACTGGCAGCTGTAGGAGCTGTAGGCAGGAGGGCGACCTCACTCGAATGCTCGTGGTCGCGAGCCCCTCGCCAGCTGGCCTCAGGGCTCAAGGAAAAGGGCGTGAGCAGAAGCCGCTTCTGAAAACATGTCCAAGCCCAGCGGTGCCTGCCTCGGGCGGTACCGATCTCAAGGCTTCCGTTAACGATGCGACCTCACTGGCAACCACAGGAGCTCCAGGATCAGGTGGGCTTGCAGCCGCTGGAGGTTTCAGATTCTGTTCTGCAGACGGGCCCGGCTGGAATGGGGGTGGGAGGGTGTTACGCTATCCGCTCGTTTTCAGGCTTCCTTAAATCCTTGGCAGGTCATGCACACTACCGTCTCTTCAATCAGGTCGAGGCGGCTGGTTCAATGGCATTGCAGTCTGAGGTGAACTGACTGCGTTGCCGTCAGCATGCCAAACGCGCGGCAGGAGTCTTCTGAGGGGCAGCTACGTACTCTCGGTTTAAGTACGGGACCTTACATCTGCAAATCAGTCTTAAGCCACTGCACACTTACGACTCACGAACCTCACGAACTACACAGGGCTGGCAGGCCCATGCAAAAGCTCTGATTCGAGCTTCCGGCAAAACAGCTTTCAAGCAGAAAATTGCGGAAGGGAGCTACCGTAAAGACTCAGAACAAACGCCCAAAGTTAGAGTCGTTTCTCCAGACCCTGTCACATCAGAATGAAAGTCCTCGGCACAGCAGCTACTGCTTGACATGTTGGACTGCAGGCGCTGATAACTGTGGCGAACCCGAAAGCGGCAATGTCGCAAACGCAATAGCCTAAATCTGAATTGTAGTACTGTGTCACAAGGACTTCGACCGCAATCTGCTCGATCCGTGCTGTATCCATGATCGCGAATCCACGGTACAACTCTGTTAGCAGCTTGCCGTAGATTGCCGGAACACTTCCAACAAGCCTTTTTGCTACGACAACTACGAGCCCTGAGCAGCCAGCGCCAGCTGAGAAGTCCGAGGACAGCCTCAAACGACAGTGCGCAGACTTGCGCAAACTTAGCAATTCGTCCGTGCGAGGTCTACAGTACCCCAGCAGCTGTGAAACTCGGATCCTCGCGAGATGTTGGAGATGGACTCTACACCGCAATGACATTCGATCTGAGGACTGACCGCCCCTAGTTCAAGAGAGCTACATGGTTCATGCACAGACCCTGACCGATGTCTGAAAAACGGCGATCGGCTTGAGGATTCCGGAATTTTGTACGGCTGCCGCGATGAGGATGTGGAGCATCAGATGTACTCTGAAACGCCTCTTCCGCGCCAGTGACACAGCTACACGGTTTAAAGAGGGGAACACGTGAGAACTATGCGGCGAACAAATGACAAAGCAACGACTGTATGGCATAGTGACATAAGTAGTGGACATCAAAGCATGATCCGAATGAACACATTCTTGGTAACAAAGGGCTGGTAAATAGTTGTAGACACACGTACTACATCGTTCCATCGTCCGTCGTTTCTTGTTGAGAGAAGCTGTCAGCATGGCCCAAAGAATCCAAGTACTGGAAGATTATTGTGATTCCGCTTTGGGACCCCTGACAATTCTGAGAAACTTTTGGGAAGTTCAACTATCCTTGCTGTGCACTCACGTCGGCGTACATCGGCAAAAGCTGCCTATCCAATCAGCCCGGAGAATGTCTGCAGATGCCAGCGAAAGGGGAGCACGAAGTCGAAAACATCACGAGTCAGTTGTGAAGATTTGATATCATAGCGAAGTGGCTGACGAGGAAACATTGCCTTCCCGAGAGTGCTCACATCCTGATACCAGCGGTAAGGCCATCACCTCTTCCAGCTCTTGGCCAAGTCGGCTGCATCAAAGAGCGTCCCGCGTCTTGCCTCACGGAGGTATGCTACCAGCCGCCAGTCATCTCTTTTGCATGGCAATCCAGCAGCCTGCCTGAGACTAAGGTAATCAGTAACGTAGGTGACATGAGGCCTGCGAAGAGGTCGCCTGCGAGTCTGCAGCGAAGCCTTCAGCCAAACTTTCCTGCAATGTGTCTCACGGCGGTCACGGGAGAAGAACTGCCCATGTTTCTGCAGCAGAAAAATATGAATACCTACATACACCCGTTGGTTTGATGTAAGCTTCGTGGTGCTTGGACTTGCATTGGTGGTAAGGACATGGGCGTCACAAGTGGCGCCTTCGTCAGACTGTCGTTGTTGCTCGGGTGCCTGACCTCCTGTGAGGGAAGGGACGAGCAGTCAACAGAAGACTCGGAATTGTTGTCAAAGATGGGTTCGGAAGATGCGTCAGCAAAGCAGCATGTCCACTTGCTCCTCCGGATCAGCCTCATCCTTGCTTATTAGGACCTGGGCCGGAGAATCAGCTTAGGAGTAGCACGGACAACTCGTAGCTATGCTCCTGTGCCAAGGAAAGCACCGTCGATTGGAAGGAGTCCTGCGACCAATTTCGTGCACTCCGAGAACTGCTCACATGCAGCTACATTGAAGTCTCCACGCAAGCCCTGAGGGTGGACACGGCTTGGTGCTGCTCATGATCATGATGGTCTGCTACGCCGGTTGGCTGAAATTTTGCTGCATAATGCACGTGCCACACACACACACACCACACACACACACACACACAGACACACACACACACACACACACGCGCGCGCGCCTCCCCGCCCATGATGAGCCCCTTGACACCCGAAGCCAACCTTTGACAAACTGCTAAGTGCCTAGCCTACAAGCACATGTTACCCTGGGTCCCGCGACGAAGGTGGAGTCGCTTGTGGGGCCTCTGGGCGGGCCCAGAGGTTCGCCACCTTCATACCAACCCAGAGAGGCAATCAGACTCACAAGCACGAAGCAGTTTTGAAAACCCGGAATGGCGAGGCGAAGCCAAAACATTGACTCGTTGAAAGGCTCGTTGGCTGCACCCCAACTAGGAAGGGACCTCGTCTTGCTAGTTTGTGGAGCAACAAAGGGGCTTCCGTTGCCCTAAACACATGCAAATCATAAACGGAATGAGTCTTGTGCATATCTTCTCTCGCTTCTGGAGCCAGTGGTATGGCAAGTGCTCGAGCAAATTGTCTGTGCTGCTTCACCCCTGGCAGGATGACTTCTGAACAAGCCTGCCTCTGTCCAAGCCATTCGAAAGCACCTCCCTGAAAGGCATGGGCGCACCCCTTCTGTAAGGCTTTCCAGCAAGGATCGCCGGTGCGGGCTCGACCGTTCATTCCTGCCGGCCTCCAGGCATGTTGATTCAACTTGAATAAGCAACTTGAACAAGCGTATCACATTAATGTGCTTCAAATGTCCGCGAACGTAAGAAAAATATGAATGGCAAGCTCGAAATTGTCTTCACATCAAGGCTGTGATGTTTCGATTCCAGTATTCACGCTGCTCACCTCACCAAGGTATGGCGAAAGAGGACGACGAACCCTTGGCCCAAACAGGCCTGGTCCTCGCGCGTGGAGCTCTCCGAGGGGACGCTCCTTTCGCTGCCTGTCTTCAATGAGAATCCGAGCTTTGGATCACCAGAGGACGCAGTTATTCGTCCACCTAAGTGTTCTTGATCATGCCGGACAAGACTAAATGCACGAAGATCGATACGAAATGGGCCGAAGCTTCATAAGCCCAATCCATGGGGCAATCCAAACAAGCCTGCAGCCCGAGATGAACGTCGGCGTTTCATGTAGCCGCCGCTTGAGCTCCTGGCCAGATATGTTTTATGCGTCGTTCCTGTGTTCATCATGACTCTAAAATCTGACTTGTCTAACAAGTTCGAACTTGCAACACTTGTCTCACTTGTCATCATGTGACGACGGGTTACCACCAACGGAAAGCTATACTCAAGAATGTATACCGGGCCGAAGAACAGCAGTCAGCAAACCTGACCAGAAATTCAGTCAACTTGAGGGAGGAGCTTCCGAACCTATCAACCTCTGATTGTACCAGCAGCCATGAGCATGGATGACAAACTGCTGCCGACCTTGTCTCCTCTCCGAAAAGGAATCTGTCTTCTGCAGCCTGTTCGGCGGACAGAAAGGTGAACGGCTTCGAATGTGGCTTGAGTCGAACGAGCATGTACTCCTCGTCCGGGCTGCTTTCGTCTGTGGACCAGGCATGGGCTGCCTCACTACACTCGTCTTAAGCACTGTCACAAGAGCTCATCTGATTGCTCAGCTGGTTGCCATCGCTGGGTTGGGTGGCATCAACGAAGGCGTGCTGCTTTCGCTGTGCGGGCTTTGGCCACGACCCAGCACCCTGCAAGCAAGCTCGCGGGCTGCAGCGAATTCAAGGAGGTCATCGATTCAGAGCACTCGGCAATGTTTGGGATGGCACGGAAACGGTAGACACAGATGAACCCCAAAGCGCCCACGCCTTTGAGCAGAAGTCCCCTTGCCGCGACCTGTCTCACTGGGTCTTAGACTCTTGCTCGGTTTTACGTCTCCTGGGAACTGCTCGTTGTGGCTTCTCCATTGTGCTCCGATCAGGTTCAACAGCTTTAAACTTTGGGGCTCCGAAGCGGCTCCCACCTTCAGATGCGCTACCCTTGCCTCCGCTGTCGGTGCCTTGGCACGGCCGAAAACTGAGGACAATCCAAGATCTCAGTCAGCTCCTACTACAACTAGTCTAAGTCCTTCTTCTGCATCCCAACCTCGTCTTTTGCGGATCACAACATCCAAACTTCTGCCAGCAGGTTGAAACAGGCATGAAGCAACCAGACACAGAACTCATTCGGATCCACCCAACAGGCTGCTCTTACCTCGCCAGCGCATGCTGTCAGTGTTCACCGGTAAGTTATGTCTCCACCGCCCAGCAACTTGCAAAAATCCCGGAGGACAAAGCTCGAGAAAACTTCCCGAATACCCCACCATGTGCCAACATCAAATTATGAGAGGATTCTGGTCTGACACGAGCATAAGGTCGAGGCCGCTGCTAGCACCTGAACTGAATAGTTCGGGATCAAGACAAAACTTTGTGGTCATGTTGATATTTTGGCTTGGCTTGTGGTCACCTACCGGCCTGTCCGGAAGAGATACTTGACGCACTTCGAAACACTCAAACTCGATCTACGCTGCCAGTGATAGGTTCTGAATTTCTCCACGCTGTCCGATCTCGGGTTTTGTCAGAGCCACCTCGAACGCGCGCTTGGCCCGGACTGGGTCGTTCAGCTCCTGCGAGATACGACTTGCATCCTATCAGCTGACAGCCCGAAGCAGGTCCGACCTGGCATCACCTGCACAGCGTAAAGTCGAGCATACGCACCTTGGCACAGTCACAGGGTTTCTTGAGCCATGCTTTCTGGGATCTCGCACATCGATTCGCAAAGTCAGGGCCATCTTTTCGTTTCTCTGCAGGGCCGAGAGTTCCGACGCTTGTCTCCTTGGCTGCGCACCACCGCGTCACGAGCGCTGCCAGTATCACACTTGGCAAAGCTAAGACTCTACCCTCGGCGAGGACCTTGTAGCCGGGATGGTGGGCCCACTTGGCACGGAAGCTATGGCCTCAAATAAAACCAGCTGACAGATGCCGTGAACAGAGCTTTGATCCTGAGCCCTCAGCCACTCATCCACACCTTGAGGTGTAGATGCCGAATATTTTGGAATGAGCCAGCATTGAGGCGCATGCTCTCAAACTGATCACCATCCTGATGGATTTACAACAAGCATGCATGACCTGGACTGCCATCTGCAAGAGGGCTATGCATCTCGGAACGATGAAGATGCCATACTGCCCTGACCACTTCGTGTTGAGAAAGCAAGCACATGCAAGCACCTTCTGGCCCCGCTGGTCATCGATAACATCCAGTGCCAGAGACCAAAGCTCAGCCAGTTCGTCATCACTGCATTCCGACTGAAACTGCACCTTAAGGCAGGGATAGGCAGGGTCAGTGAGGCCAGTGCAGGAGCTGCCAGATTCCAAAATGTTCCGCCGAGCTTCGCAGCGGTTCGGGACCACAACCAAGATAGGGCGACCCTGACAAAGCATAAGAGTCACAAGAGCTCAGGTGTGGCCAAGATTCGACAGGGGAGCTCCACAAACTGCATTTGGACACTCCCGGCTCCTGTGCATCAAGTACACAACGGGTGAAAGCACCAGCACGAAGGGTGATGTCACGGGATGTAATTGGCAGCTGCACTTGCCTGAAGGGAGGGAGCTCAAACAAGTTGTTAAGGCATCTTCTGAAAAGACGATAGGACAAGCCAGGTAGGTACAAAGCTTGAAGCTTGCATTTTATCGACCTGCTTCCTGCCAGATGCATCCATGTAGTCAACCAGGGCGTCCAAACTCAGCAGGTTGTCAGCATCTGCACGTGGCAAGCACGAGATGGTCTGTGCACACATACACACACGGAGTCCAGAACGACTTGGGAACATGGCACCTGAAGGCTCTCGCTTGCGATCGCTGTCGGCAAAGACAAAGACCGAAAAGCCTCTTCGACTTTGCATGTCCGTGGCAACCGACGAACTGCGTCCATGCTCGACGGCCAGCCTGCTTGGCGAATGTGGGCCGCCAGCTGGTCGCTCAGTGGAGGTAGAAAACGCCCCCCACGCCCGCTCCCTGAGGATGGCTCTGAGCCTGCAGAAACTCGGAGATGATAGCTTTGGTGGCCCTCGACCTTCTCAATGAGGTGCAGGACTTGGCGCATGAAGCTCACAAAAGCTTCTCTGTTCCTGACCAGATTTACGAAGCTACCGCAGCCCTGACGGGGTGCGAGAAGATACGCTGACTGTTCACCACGGCTGGCAGAGAAGACCAAATCCCCGGACTCACCGGACTCGGATGCTTCCACCATTGCCATGGACTCTGCTAACTTACGGCATACTCAGACCATCGGTATCTTCCATTTGCCTTCGGCACGGAGCAGCAATGTGCTTCGGACGAGGAGCAACGGTTCCGTAAAGAAAGTGAGAAAGACGGAACTTCGTCAGCCAAGCACGCTATCCAGGCACAGCGATACTAGAGAGAGAGAGAGAGAGCGACAGAGAGTCTGGCCAAGACAGCTGAGCAGGCACAGGAGGACTTGCTCCGCAGATCTGAGGTGCAGGCGTGCAGAAGATAACTTAGCAAATCGACATCTGCTGACGAACCGGGTTGTCTGTAGATGTCCCTGGAAATATCGGCTTAAGAAGCTAGAATCTAGAGCTCAGAAATGTGCGCAACACCGTGATGTTCCATCTTCTATTCTTTTGATCTTCGTCCATGCTGGCCACACAAACCACCCCTGCAGCAGGACCGAGCGAGGAAGAAATGCCTGCTTGCAACAGTGTCGTAAATCAATTGCCGATGCTGCGCAGATGCCACTTTGGTTGCGACCGCTTTCGAAGCTGCGAAACTCCTCTAAGACGTTCTAAAGCGATCTGGAAATTTGTCTGGCCAATGTGGCTGTGAGGACAAACGCATGTCCCACACCTTCTTGCAGATGAGGTTTGACACACTGGAGCTTGTATTGTAGTGATACAGTGACATATCTTGACCAGGAAGACATGATCGCGAAAGCTGCACGATCCGTCAGCGCGGGTCCGACTCAGGCCTCCGGGCCTTGGAAAAGCAGGAGCTGCCTCCTCGCAGATCGTAAAGCGAACACGGCTTTCGCAGTGCAAGCTGTCAATCAGAACGGTAAAGCAAAGCTTCTCGAGGAAGTGTTGAAAGTGTAAGCACAACCAGGGCCACCCAGGCCTGGGCGCTGGGACAAGCCCTCCGATTCAAGAGCAAGTGGCAGGCGCCACAGAGACCCGCGTACAAAGCGCCATAGACGTGGCCCGCATAATCAACCGCCGCATACTCACGCTCCGGGTGCAGTGAGATAATAGCGGGAAAGAGGCGAAGCAGACAGTGGACTGCAAGCCAAAAACTGACTGCCTGTGCCACCGATATCGATACTGGTGACCGATATGCAGCAGATACTAGCAGAGCTACCAGAAACGCTGCAGCAAATGGGTATTCTCTAATTCTGCTGCTTCTCGGCGAAAATACTTCTGGCAGGACTCGAGCCGCCAGCAACAAAGAATTTGTGACAGCGGAACTGGCCCCAAAACAGTCTTCAAGGCCGCGGTCTCCAGCGACAAGAATCGCCAGGACAGCAGCCCCATACACGCAGGAGCTGGCTCCTCGGCTGTTGGAAAGGTCTGCCACCGCATCCACGTGATGCCTGCAATGGGCGAACAACGAATATGTGAACATGCTGTGACATATCCTGTCTCGGCTCCACGGGCAGCTCAGACGCCCCCTTGCCTGGGCATGGCTGCATAGTCTGGGCTGTTCCGCAACGTCCGCCGCAACGTCAACCAGCTGAAGACGGCTCCAAACGCCCCGGAGAGTAAGTATGCAGCGACGAAAACAAGCGTTCCCAACTCCTCTTCTGCTGGAACACCGACAAGTAATAAGAGAAACACTTCTCGCAACAGGTGCGAGTGAGTGCCTTAGAACGCCACGGATTGTCAAACGAACCTTGTTTGAGTATGCTCAACGACGTGACTCAGGCTCCAGCCATGAAAGAAGCTGCAAGAGATGAGAACCCAAAACTTGCCGTGGAGCAGTGCATCTCCACTGAAGTCGAAAAGTTCGCTGCATTGTTTCCGACAGCGCAAGCACTGCTCTAGCGTGTGTGCCTCAGCTAAAGCGTGCGACAGTTGTGTATCGCAGAGCATGCTTGAAGCCAAACACAGAAGCAAGTCGCACAAACAGTGCCGCTTGCTAGAACCAGAGAGCCCCATGGCACCATGGCCGTGTGTCGCTCAGCAAATGTCATCTGTCGCTCCTGCATTTCCGCCTCTAGTGCGCTACATCTGGTTAGATGGCTCCTACCACAGCCCGTTGCTGTGGGCGCTGACGCCCATGATTCCATTGTGCAAATGCAGCTGCGATGCGAAACAGCTCTTACAGGTTCGATGTGCTGGAAACAAAGCTTGAATCAAAGCAGCATGATCATGATACTGTTGACTTGATACAGGGAACGACAAGTATGGCAAGTAAGCATGATAACGAAAATGTTTCAAGCTGCGGCAAGTTCCAACCTCTGAAAACACCCTTGTTCAGACCGTCTCACATTTGGGGCAAAGCAAGGAGGGTTTTGTGGCCAATTCGAGAATCACAAAGCTCTTTGCCAGCAGCCACAAGGCAAACTTGAGCTTACTCCACGGCATGTGCGTGGACATCAGCTGTAGACGCATGCCTCCAGTTTGTACACGTCAAGCCTTAGACATTCATGGCCAAAGCATAGACAGGCTGCGTGGATAACCCTGCGAAACAACCATTCACGTGTCCGCAATCTTTTCCGCATTCCTACCACTTTACCAAGGCACAATTCTCCGTCTTCTGGTGCTGGGAAAGTGTTTCGCCGTACAGAACAGGCCGCACCCACGGCTGCCAAAACAGCATCTAGGGAATCAGCGCCGGCATCCGTCAGAAGCTTCTGAGTCAATGTCCTGGTTAAACATGTCGGAGACATAGGTCATGGCAATATTCCAACTACATTTTCAAACCAGGTGAAGCGAAACGGTGCGACCGGTGCGACTCGCATGCATGTGAACGGAAGCCAATCCTGTCACCGAAATCCACACGCAGCGTCGATTTGCTCCTGCCTCCCACTGGAATGCCTTTCCTCGTAGAGGGAAGCGAGAGAAGCATGGGCACTTCACACAAACAACAAATACTCGAAACTTGTGACCGGCCGGTCGGCCACAGAGAGGGTTGCTGGAAGACAATTCAAATCCTGAAATAAAGTTGTTTTGGGGGGTTTCGGAAAAGTTGGAAAAAAGTTGAAATAAAGTTGAAAAAAAGTTGAAATAAAGTTGATGGA